GACTGTGCAAATACGTATCCTCAAGTTCTTTGGGCACATTACCCGTAACGAGGAATCTATGGAACGATTGGTGGTGCAAGGCAAAGTCGAGGGCAAAAGATCACGTGGACGCTCTCCTACACGGTGGACGGATCTCATCAAATCTGTCACACGATCCAGCATCAACGACAACTCCCACTCTGCAAAACACAGAGCAACATGGCGTCGCATCACGAAGGAAGCGGTGGCGCAATATTCTGACCGGCACATGACCACGACCACTCTAACAAGAGTGAACGACTAAGAAGAAGAAGGATTTTAACGAATAACCGTCTATAAAATATAGACGTTCCTTTCGATTTACGGCCATTTGAAACCAGGCAGCCGAAACTTATAATTTTAATTAGAATTTCGGCCGTGCATAACATACAATAGTGTCGATTCTGGCATGATTCTCTAAACCTAAAATTAAATTTGGCAAGAGTGTATCCTTGTCATTCTCTATACAGAATGAAAAGGAGAGACTGGTGTTAACTTTAGCTTTAAGTTAAGAGAATAATGCCAGAATCAACACAAATAACGACATAAAAATTAAAGCCAATTAGAGACAAATAAAATTTGAGCCAAAGAAAAGACACAAAAAATAGCTACTGAAAAAATATTAAGCTATTGCAGGATTATTCCTAATGGCCACGAATTAGTAAAGTTTATAGACTATACCTGAAATTAATGGTTAAGAAAGGCTAGAAAGAATTTGACACGGCCGCCAGGGCCGCGGTAGCATAATTGGTCAGTACATTCGCCCGGATAGCGAAGGGTGCGGGTTCGAGTCCCGTCTGCTGCCTGGTCCGCGTGGATTTTTTTCTAGTAATATTTTCTTTAGATTTAAACATCGAGCAGTTTATTATTATATTTGTTTATAATTTAATATGAAAACTATAATAAATATTAAAAAGTATAACTAATAATTTGGCTCATTGTTTCAAAACGACGAAAGTAGAGTTTCTTACAAACTTCTTTTCTTTTTTTTTTTTTACTGAAATAAGTAAGAAAGTTCTAAAATATTTACATAAAATTTGCCAGTTCATTTATATTGCTTTTTAAATTACATACATGCAAAACCAGAGCAACCAATGATCTTGATAGTGATTTTCGGCCTTCTTCTACCTCCTTCAAAACGATCTATAGATTTATTCGTTGCACAAAAAGTATTTACCGGTAATATTATTCAATGCATTAAAGTAACCCTTTTGAAGATTACTTCGTTTAAGTTAATTAACATAGGTTAATTGTTTACGTGCATTGTTTGTATAAAGACTACATTCATTACCAATTAATAAAGCTGCAATTAAATTATCATGTAAGTAAGCTAATACGAAGATGAGGATGTGCACTATTATTGTTTAATAATCATATTAACATTCAATTTGGGTATAAAATTGTTAGCACACATTTTTGGGTTTTATTTTCGTTTCAATCAATATGCGGTTGTGTATTGTGTGGGCGTTGGCGCTGGTGTGCGCGCAAGGTGCGCGCGCGCAGGTGTTGTACGACTCGTACTTCGGGAAGCCGCTCAGCGACGACCGGAACACCTTCCTGCAGTCCATTAATGCCACCAGGTGATTTGGTTCGAGATTAAAAAAAGCTGGAAACCACTTACTCAAATGCTAACAACTCGATTGTCCTCTCTTGTATATGTGTTATGGGCTAAGTGATCAATCGGGCATTATCATAATGCCCAATAAGAGCGGGCAATGTGATTATAACCAATCAATTTATCACATTGCCCGGGCATTATGAATAATGCCAAGTGCCGATTGGGCAGAGTGATGTAAAGCATGTTTAATACTTTCAAATGAATACTTAGTTAGATAGACCGAGCATTACAAGTAATGAAATAAATTATCGCGTAGAGTAATAATAAAAACATGTTTCATACTTTAGTATTTATTTTTAAAGGCCAATGCACCCTTTTGACATTGTTATTTATTTTCTATTCGCCAGAAATGAAACTTAGACCTTATATAGAGGACTATAATAGAAGTTTGAAGAAGGAGGAAGGAGGTCTCCAAACCATAAGCTAGCCTAAATAACATTTATGATTATTGTTGCTGTTAGTTTTTTATCAGGCGTTTTTTACTATTTAATAAGACATGGAAATGATATAAATAATATCAAAATAATTTAATAAATAACTCTAGTAGTAAGGAACTTGATAAGCAAGAGTCATGGGGGCCAATTCCACTAATGTAGAATCATAGTCATAATGGTGTATCAGTGGTGTTTCCATGGTACCTAATGTTTTTAAGTCCTAGTAACAAGAACCGTGAATAGGTACGTAGGTACTATTGAGACAACATTATGATTTAACGTTAGCAGAATTGGTCTCCTAAGCGTGCAGCCATGTGGTATGACCTAGCCAAAATAATAAATTAATTGTTGTTAGTTATAATAAATTAATTGTTGTTAGTTTTCTATCTTCTTCTTCTATAAATAATACGACAGCAGTGGGCGCTCTGCGGCTGCTATGATGACGATGTCTTAAAATAATAATAATCTCGCTAGATGGCTGGATCAAGTGTCAGTTAAGTACAGAAGGCAGTCCTCGGGCACGGCACGCATTGCGAGAAGATTTCTCGCTCTGCAACCCTAACAACCGCAAACTTGGGCCTTACTCCGGTGCTGGCGGCATACTAGGTTGTTTTTATAATGTTTTTGTATTTTACTTTTTATAACTGTATTATAAAAATCTGGACGTAAGGATAAAAGTAAATAGGTGTTTGAGGAATATTTTAGTGCAAAGAAATAGACAAAAGTATTTAGTTAAATCTATTTTATTAATCAGTACATAAGTTACTTATTGCTACTACTCGCTTACAATGTCAACTTCATTTTCCACGTCGTGTCTGACTATATAATTCAGAAATTCGGCTGGAGGGGTCAAGTTTTCTTGATGTCTTCCCCCGCCCATGAAATAAAGTACAGACATGACGTGGGCGCAGCAACCTAAAGTCCTCATTCCTGCAATACACGAACAATATTGCCCTTTTATGGCCATTATGCCTTCATTAACACCGTCTATTAGTATGTACGCAAAGTATGTACGTTGTTGCCTATGTCGTGACTGAATGTGACTACGGAGCAGCCACGGGTTCACAACATCAATGCCGAACATTTGTAGATCCGTAATATCCAGTCTGTCCTCCCTATATACTTCAATGACGTACGAAACATCGTCCCTGACATGTTCGCCGTAATAACTTCGGGCCTGGCTTATTTGATACGTTCCCACCGCGTGAATTATTAAATCATTTATATCAACTCTGGGGAAGTTGTCAAGACTAGGAACGGTGGCAGTCATTGACACGAAATTGGCTCTTATTTGGTTTAGGTTTCTGTTAACTACATACTCGCCTAAGTTGTTGTTTTCAGGAGTAGCGTTTATTTTGTTAATCATCGATTCTACCAACAGAAGATCATTCAGTGGTTTCCCGAACGCATTTATTAACGCACCTGCTATTTTAAATTCCTCATACATGTGGCTCGCAGCTCTGTTAAAAAATACGGACCTGAGTTGTGGAAACTGGTTTTTAAACGTCCGTTTACTGTTTCGATAACTCATCTGCATAGAGTCACTCTTCTTGACGAATTCGCCTGGCGAGTAGTCAGTTGTGAATGACCTCTACTTTTAGTAATGGGTATATAAGAGCGATAGTTCATGCCCGTTAGATCGTCTATCACGTCGCGGAACCCCCTATCCAGTATAAAAACGTCTCCTTGATTAAAGATATAATGAAACGGTTTAAATTAAAGTCCTAAATTATCACATTTACAAACAAAAAAACGCCTAAACAAAAAAAGTAGCAATAACTTTAACCCATTATAAGTCGGCTAGCTTATGGTTTAGAGACCTTGTTTATCCTTCTTCAAACTTCTTTTATAGTCCTTTATATAACGTATAAGTTTCATTTCTGGCGAATAGAAAAAAAATAACAATGCCAAGGGTCTATTGGAAAGGCTCTAAAAACACTCTAGGGGTAGGGCAGACCAAGACCACGGCGTGTCGGGGTTGACCAAGTCGTTTCTGAATTAAAGACTGTTGTAAAGCCACATTCACCTTATTTTCTAAGTGTTGAGCCCATACTATTTTTTATTTACCAAGATCTCAAAACGAACACAAAATGGCGAGACATCTCTCATTTTGACAATAGTACCAACTTTTGGAATTTATTCATACTGCCCGGTCCAAGCGATAAATTCAAGCTATCTAAAACGCTGACTTATTACATGAACCACGAGGCGTCCGGTATTATTAATAATGACCGGGCAATGTGATAAATAGGTGAGTTTAGATTGTAATTAATCACTTGGCCCGATATGGCTGAGCATTATTCATACTGCCCTGGCACTATGAATACTGCCCGCATTAATCACTTGGCCCATAACATATGCACTGAGACAGTTGAAACGCAATACTGACCTTAATACCACCTTTTCTGCATATCATGCATTTGTCTATTCCAGGCTGACTTATGGTATTATATTGTGGGGTAACTGCACTGATATTCAGGACGTTTTTGTCCTCAAGAAAACTTTATAAGAATACTTGCAAACATAAAACAAACAAACTCCTGCAAACCATATTAAAAAAAAACTTACCATGACATGCCTTTACATATCAGAAGCCTGCAAGTTTGTTGTGAAAAAAAATATTGAATTATTATTGAGTATAAACTCACTAGTTAAATTAGTAAGACCAAATGATCACTACCAGAATACACTGAAGCTCCCGTTTTCAAACTTGAAATTAGTATCAAATTCTCCACACTCCATGATAATTAAAATATATAATCACATACCCAACAATATCAAAAATAAGGAATGAATATATCATTCATAAATCCTATTATAATATATTAGAGATTTTTCGAGATAAACATACCTGATATATAATTTTTATGAAGTAATAATAAAATTTATTTAATTTCATGACATACCTCTATATTATTTTAAAAATTCTGAGTGTGTAAATTGTATATTAATATCTATAGTTCTTTTTTTATTATTTAATTTTAATAAGATACATATATAATAAATGAATTGAATTTTATATTTATTTATTTATTTAAAAAAAAATAATAATTTAAGTTAAATTGCAACGCCCTTGCAGGGTGTCACATATTTGTGCAACTTGTGATATTATTGTTTTTGTACTATCTGTGGCATGCAATAAAGAATAAATAAATAAAAGGCGTTAAATAAAGTTGGCCCAATATGGGACCCCTGTGGAACTCCAGAGGTTATCGTGAATGTAGAGGATCTAAAATCATTCATCACCACATAGAAAGATCTCCGCTCAAGATAAGATTGAATCGACTTTTAAAGAGGACCCTATATTCCATTGTTTTCGAGTTTCGTAATGAGGGTTCTGAGAGGAGCGTTATCAAAAGCCTTTCTAAAATCTATGTATATCACATGAACTTGCTTGTTTTCATCCATAGCAGCCACCACATTTACAATGAAACTGATTTAGTTAGAGGTGGTTGACTTTGTGTAAAATATCCATGTTGATGTATAGTGATATACTGCTTTAAAAATAATATTCCTTAATTCCTATCCCCGTGGAGCCCTTGAACCCTACCCATCGACAGAAACACAATAAGACCACAGAATAGATAGTAATAATACAATGTGTCTTCTATAAAGTGAAGTTTACTTCCCTAAACCGGCGATCGGATCAGACCGGATTATACCCACTTCTTATAAATCTTGTTTCGCAGCTTGTGCACCGTCCCAGTGGAGCCATGCAAGAAGCACGAGGGGCGGCGCGTGGACGGCACCTGCACCAACCCCAAATTCCCGTCGCGTGGAGCGTCTGGCACACCGCTGTTGCGTATGCTACCCGCAAGTTTCGGATTAGGTAATTAATGGCGTGTAATTACTGGAGCCTAAAGACATTAAACGTTATTACACTCAGACCCGTCTTTCCCAGTGGGCACTTTGGGCAAGTGCCCAGGGACCCGCGATCAATAGGGGCCCCCGTCAGATCAAATATTTATTTAATTAATTGCACATGTACAGTATATACAGGATCTTAAAATTATTTTGGCATGGTACATGACCCTGTCAGGGTGTTGCAAGTACAATAACTATATCACCACAACTACTAAACAGTTTCAATTTCAAACAAGTTAGTGAGCTTTCCGTGACAGTTTCACTTATCATTCATAAATTCATTTACCGAATAGTATGCTTTCTTGATTAGATGTTGTTTGAGTTTCATTTTAAATGTATTTATGTTGCTTTCTCTTTTAATTTAGGTAATACTAAATCAAATTTTTATTGAATGTAAAATATGTTGGTTGTTTGCGAACAAACAATGCTATTTCCATTATATACAGTGAAGGAAGGGTTAACAATTTCTCTTTAATGAAATGTGGTTTACAACTTACTTGCTGTCTGATATTGACGATAATACGGAGACACTTTTTTTGAAGGATAAAAAGGTCGTGAACGTCCGTACTATGCCCCCATAATATTATTCCATAGCGCAACCATGCGTATGTATATGCGTAGTAAGTCAATACGAAGTCTCTACATCATAGGGGCCCCATTATCCTAATATGTCAAAGGCCTCCAATAGGTCAAAGAAGGCACTGATTACACTGGAACCCTTTACCAGGCACCCGACCTAGATAAGCAAGGTGGCCATTTTTCTATTCGTAAAGACGCAAATGTCAACATTCAAGTTATGCTAACTTGTAATTTTAAGACAAGATTTTCAATAATTTAAAGTTTTTAATACACTTATGTAAGCTTTCTCTAATATTATTAAAGCACGACTAGTAAGTTCACTGTTCATTGCGTTTTTTTCAGGCTTAAACTAAAATAAATAATAACACATTATATTATTGTTTTAATAACACATTGTTTGTACGTATTAATATAAAAAAATAATCTGAAAGCGCATTTGTTATTGAAACAAAATTATACTTAATTTAAGGATAACAACTAAATTAGCAATTTGTGCTTTTCCTTTTGATCAAACAGGTTTATTGGTTGTTATATAATACTGTTTCTAGTGGTTTGATCCGCTGGAACGTTATAGTAGGAGAGCTCAAGCGGGTATTTTTGGATTTACTCGAGCGCGGCAGAATATGATATGGGGAGCAACCTTGCACCTAGTTAAGTACTCCCACTATACCTGAGCCATCTATGTAGTATCTAGGGCAGCAAAAACAAAATTTCAACGAACGGTCATGACATGACTGGTCGCGCCCAAATCGTCAGTCTTTTGAATATAAGCTACTAGAGGGTTCATGTAACGTTTCTAAGAACGGAAAAAATATTGATCTGCCGCGGTTTGCATGATATGGGGGTGGCCGTACGAAGGGGTAGAATATAGGAAAAATAATCGAGCGCATCAGACATTGAGAAGCAATGTTACGTGAACTCTCCAGTAGCTCCTATTCAAAAGACTGACGATTTGGACCCGACCAAAAGTCATGGCCGTTTGTTGAAATATTGTTTTTGCTGCCCTAGACGTTCGACCTTACATAGATGTCTCAGGTATAGTGGAAGTACTTAACTACGTGCAAGGTTGCTCCCCATATGTTATTCTGCCGCGCTCGAGTAAATCCAAAAATCCCCGCTTGGGCTCCCCTACTATTACAATCACAATTAAGTAATTCCACCGTACTCATCAGTACATAAACAAACAGACGTGCAAGTTCATAATGAATCATAATAAATTAAATCCTTTTTTGGAAACAATTATTTTTCTTTTTAATCAGTCGTCAATAAGAACTGCAGAATAGGCTGTAAGAGTGTTGATGAATAATATGTGACTTTCTTCTGTTGCCAGGGAACATGCTAAGGCAGTCGATGAATGGATCAGATCTGCCGTCCACGCGACTTCTGCGCACCAAACTGCTGAGCGACGGGTACCCAGTGGACCATAACTTTAATGTGCTCGCGACCCACCTTGGAGTCTTCTCATTCGTGGACAACGTTGACCTGACCGTTCTATGTAAATAATTTATTTATGTTCATACTTACTGCTTTAAGGTATGAGGGTCTTAACTCACGACCTTTGCGTAGGGATGTAGCTTCGCTCTGCATCTTCTATCGCATTTATCATGGAGAGTGTTCTGAGGAATTGTTCGGATTAATTCCAGCTGCTGCATTTCGCCATCGTACATCGCGACAAAAATTTCATCCCCATCAACTTGATGCGTGGCTATCCACAACCGTGCGTTTTTGTCGAAATTTTTTACCACGTACGACAAAACTGTGGAATATATTGTCGCCAGTAGTGTTTCCGGACCAATACGACCCAAAAACCTTCAAAAAAAAGAGCGTACTCCTTCCTTAAAGGCCGGCATCGCATTTGTGATACTCCTGGTGTTGCAAGTGTCCATGGGCGACGGTGATCACTTACCATCAGGTGAGGGGTCTGCTCGTATGCCACCTATAACATAAAAAAAAACACCTCTCCCACCCAACATCGCTCCAAACTAAGGCGACTGCCTGCAGTCCACGCGGCAACAGCTAGAAGCCACCCAGCTGTCTACGCTCCAACAGATAGCTGTCAGCGAATTGCTTGATAGTAATACCATAATGAGGAGCTCGATGACGCAAGTGGTTAGCGCGTTCGGCTACGATCGTTGAAGTAAAGCAACTTTCGCAGTGGTCGGTCATTGGATGGGTGACCAACAAATTTACTATCTCGAGCTCCTCCATGCTTCGGAAGGCACGTTAAGCCGTTGGTCCCGGCTGCATCTGCAGTCGTTAGCACCCGCCAATTCACACTGGGCCCGTGTGGTGGGTCATGGCCTAATCTCCCTATTCCATCCATAGGGAAGGCCTGTGCCCCAGCAGTAGGGACGTTAATAGGCTGATGATGATGATGAATACCATAATGGCCTTATAGCAGTCAGCTCACGAACACCACGCAGACCGCTTCCTTGCATCGCATAGTAAACAAGGAGTCACGTCAACTTCGTCCCACTAGGCTAACTAGAGCCGAGGTCTGAGTCTCAGAGACGCGAGACACGTTCGAGTGGTCTAGAGGCTCCAGACGGAGAGGAGACTCCCCCCGTGTGGAGATGCCATCCGCCTGGAATATCTCTAGAGGCACTCGCCAATTCTCGGCTTGAGGTCCCCTTAGGAGCTCGCCGTCCCCAAACCCGGTGACGCTGTAAATGTCATCTGCGACCAACAGCATACATACTCAACAAAAAAGGCGCAGAGTGAAGGCATTAAGATCGCTAGCGAGCGTGGTAAGATTTTTTAAAGAGCAACACTTGAAAGCACATATTTGAATTATATTCTTTTAGTCGGGTTGGAGCAGAGTCGTGTAAGTGGACTAAGACCTTAATGGCACCACCCACGAAAATTACGTGGTAGGATGCACACAGTTGTTTGCAAAAATAATTTTCTCCAAAATCGTATAGATTTATCTGTAGTTTTAAACATCAAGCAGTTACAGATAGTGCAATCCACGAAGATGCCGCCCACCAATTTTTGGTTGAAGGATAATTAGTGATAAATTGTTAATTAGATAATTATCATATTATTATTTATTATTATCATGGATAATTAGTGTGTACTGATAACACTCAAATATTGGCGGAAGCTGGCACACATTTACTCAGTGTTACCAACCCTTACCAAAATTTTACCCTAAGTATTTTTTATATTCCCCTAAAATCCCCTAAATAAAGAAATTTATATGTACCTACTTATCTTAATACCTAAATTCTTTCGTTGCTCATAAATTAAAACGTAACATATTTAGTTACAGTAAATCATTTTATTGAATAAATACATTTTACGAATGGAAAATCAAACGAAAATGACCTGACAGGCTGTTAAATCTTATTTAGCTGTTTTGATTGGTGGAAGGCAAAGAACTTTAGTCCATACAGCCTTAGGAAACAATCTGCCACACAGTCAGTTCAGTCGTTTCATATCGTGGTGCGTTCCATTCTACGCAAAAACTGAAAGAAAACACACGCTTTGTTTTTCGATTTAATTGCAAGTTTTGTTAAAAGCCCCTAAAAGAACCCCCAAAAAATTCCAGCCCCTAAAAAGTCTGTTTTAACCCTTCTAGCCCCTAAATCTGGGGGCAAAACCCCTAAGTCGAGGACCGGGCATTTACTTTAAACGGTTAGGAGGAATAGTGAGGCGCGTCTTCGTGGATTGCAATATATGTACATGCGTAAAAAATAACTAGATTTACCTTGTCAAAACTACTGTTGAGTTAACAAAGTTTCTGCTAGATTCTTATATCAATCACTAAATAATAGATTTTCTAAACGTGTATGAAGCACTGTTTATTAAATTTTGTAAGTTATTCCCATTTTAGACTTTCGGAAAGGACGTCGTGGTAGACTACTGATCATGGCATCAATAAAGAATCTTAAACGTCGTGAATAATATAGAAATTAAATAAATCACGCTTATTATTTTTTATTTAAAAAAGTTATCATATCACCGCACACGCGCCCCCACGCCACAGCCACAAACGCCACCACGAGAAGCTAGAAGCGGCTACTAAAGTGGCAGAAGCGCGCGACAGCAGCCGACTAAGGTAAGGGAGAGAGAGGTGGGGAAGCGCGCGAGTGACGGGTGGCGGCGTTTTGTATCGGCGCATTAAGTGGCCGGTGCGGGCCACAAGAAGCGAGCAACGACGATTTGTAGCTTGTGGCGGCCACCGGCGCGGCGTGCCGTGTGTGGCGAGTCCATATAAAATGTATGAAAACTACAAGAAATATGCCGGTGGCGGCGTTTTGTGGTTATGGTCGGTAAATTGCTCAACCTTATCTTCTGCAACGATAACATCCCCAAAAGTATTTGGTTGTAACCGCGCCCGATTGCAACTGTAACTCATACTCATATTTTTGTGACATCGCAGTGCGGTACTTGATTCTGAGCGACTGCTGCGTAGGAAACACTCCTAACCGCATCAACCCCACCTGCATCCCCATCCCGGTGGCACCCGACGACCCGTACCTGCGGCTCACCGGGATCCGCTGCATGAACCTCACCAGGAACCCCACCTTCCAGGAGAGGGGCTGCATATCCAACGCCATGCCCGCGGAGAGAGTGAGTAATTGTTTATATAAATAAATATCAGGCCACTTTCCATGCTGAATTCTTATCCAATCGAAACGCGGGTTGTACATTAGCCCGATAAGGTACCACTGCACTCAATTCTCAAAAATGGCGATACCTTGAATTAACTCTCAAGTCACTCGACCACGTAGAATATTCGGTTCATAATCTCCTTCTCATAAAAAATACTCAGGGCAAGCTTTTAGCTATGTAAGCTTGACAAATCAGATTTTTCCCTGCAATCAATTGTTAGAAATCCAAACAATGCTAATGAAGGTACCGCAATGATTGTGTTGGTATGTTATTGTTCCTAGGTATTACCACGGTAATATTATCTATACAGTATTGTGACTCCGCCCTGTCCTTGAAAATAAATGCCTACACCGAGCGCTGCGTTGGCACGCGGTAGGGCCGCCAGCCTACAGTATTTTATGTAGTTTTGTTTTTAACGCGAGTGTAGGTAGATTACTCGTTTGTCTCTTTTTTCATCCTAACCACTGATTTATATATTATTCCAGATATTTAGCCCGATGGAAAAACCGAATTACCTAAATTAGAAACAAATAACGTACTAGTAGATAGGTATATAAAAAATATTCTATGAAGGTAAGACACCTTTCCAATATTTCAGGTAATTTAAAAAATGATATCTCTGGGTGTGTTATTGAAGAGAGAGATTTTGTTCTTTTCCATACTAATTTATGTAGGTATCTACTTAATTAAATCAAATATTTACAATACAAAACGCACGTTTAAGCACGGCTAACTGCACAAAAAACAATTCAGACCGTTCGGTCGTCGTTGCGGCGCGGCGGCGCATTCGCGACTGGGTGCCCGCCGAGAGCACATCGAACTCGAGTGGCGTAGGTATGACTTGCTTTCCGACCATTTGTATGAAGATAGAATACTGTATGATATTATTACCGTGGTATTACCAACCCCTTATTTTGTAACTTCTGTTTTCACCCTGCAAACCCTTACTCCAAAGCCAAAGTTTTCAATCTATCAATGTATTTACGTTAAACAAATATTAATATTATCCGGCTCATGAAAATTCTAAAAAATGAAGAAAGAGCCACACATTTCAAACAAATCTTTGAGTTCAATCATGTTAAGCTGTTTCTAAATCTGAACTTATAGCTACTCCTTCTTTCATCCCAGTATTCAGTGACGACACCACTGATCGATCTATCTGTCGTGTATGGGTTCACAAACGAGCGGGAACGCCAGATCCGCGAGTACAAAGGCGGTCTGCTGCGGGCGGAGCAGAGGAACGGACTAGACTACCCCCCCGGTACGGCTCCTGTCTGTGCCCTGAACAGAAGACCTATAGAGAATGCTTGCTACGAATACGGTAACTACCTATATCTTTAAACAAAACACAATCATCATCAGCCTATTAATGTCCCCACTGCTGGGGCACAGGTCTTCCCTATGGATGGAATAGGGAGATTTGGACCATGACCCACCACGCGGGCCCAGTGCGGATTGGTGGGTGCTAACGACTGCAGATGCAACCGGGACCAACGACTTAACGTGCCTTCCGAAGCACGGAGGAGCTCGAGATAGTAATTTTTGGTCACCCATCCAATGACCGACCACTGCAAAAGTTGCTTAAGTTCAACGATCGCAGCCGAACGCGCTAACCACTTGCGCCATCGAGCTCCTCACAACAAAACACAAGCAATAGTGTTATCTTTCTTCTTGGCAGTCGTATAAAAATTAGTAACGTTGCAGGCGATGCGTTTGGCGGCAACCTTCTAGTTGGCGTGTACATGACCGCGATGTGGTTCTACCGGGAGCACAACCGGCTGGCGCGGAAGCTGGCGGAGATCAACCCGTGCTGGAGCGACCAGGAGTTATTCGAGACGGCGCGCCACATCAACATTGCACAATGGCAGCATATTTTTTACTACGAGCTCATGGCAGAACTACTTGGTATATAAATTGCGTTATTGGTAAAACACTTGACAGTGGCTTCGAATCCAGTCAGCATTCCTAAGAAAAAAAAGCTTTTTTGCTTAGATAAAGTTTCTTCAGAGCCTATTCATTCTCTAGATTTTGGTGATAATATTTCAGCAGATACAGGGCAAAGAAAAACAAAACAATAAATTAGGGCCACAATAAAAGGAAAAAGAATATATGACCAGCATAGAAGGAAAAAGAATATATTTAAACGTTTTTAACGATCAGATTTGCCATTCATTTTCCAAATTAGTATCGAATAATTTTCTGTATTTCTTTTATCAGGCTGACTGAATAATGTCGATATTGGACTAAAAATAAAAGATTTCAGAATATATCACTTGCTAAAGTCTTCACGCCAAATATAGGAAATTCTATTAATGAACATTGCTATCAATCAGAAAACTATCTAACCACTTATCTCTTTGTTTTTAGAGCTTTGTATGAGTTTATCCTAATCTATTAGTTTTTTTTTCTGATATTAGCATATTTATATTCTATACACAACAAATCTATCCTGTCTATTTCTAAGGCTCGATGTTGATGCTCTGCTTCAATGAAGCCAGAAAATTCTTTAAATGATCCTCAAAAATACAACCTTTTACCTAACATTTAGATTAATAGATGTGTTTTTTCGTGATCATTTACTATGTTTTGTGATAATTTAAATATGAGCCCAAACGAAACAGCAAATTCATCTAACGTTATGTGCTGTTAGGTAGGGAGAATGCCTTAAAAGCTGGGATAATTTACGACACGCACGGGTACGTGGACGACTTCGACGAGCGTTACGAGCCCGGAGTGTACCACGAGTACGTCGTCGGCGGCCGCTGGTTCCACACAATGCAGGACGGAAGGACTGAGTGAGTTATAGTGAAGATCTTGAAGAAGTTGCTTTTTTAAATTAATTCTAATGTCCAATTTATAATGGAATCTAAGCAATTCAACTCAGAGATGCCTATTTTCTTGGGAAGGACATTTACTCACCAGATTCTGCTGCAAGAAGAAAGTCACCAATTTCCTCCAAAACCTAAACTATTTAGAAACAGAAAGCCTTATGAATTCTTGAATTACGAGCCAGTCCCACACGCCCCCTCCACACACGCACACACACACACACACACACACACACTTCACACACGCACATAAACACCATACTCACAACTAGCACTACCATATACCATATCATGCAAAATAATATAAATGTGATTTTAGATTTTATCGTTGCTCCCTTTTTTTGCTTATGTAACACTTTCTTAAGCGGAGAGAGGCTGGTGCACTGAGACACAGGCATCAGCTTAGTTTGGTCACCAGTCTCTCACAATCTTAGACCTGAGTTTTATAATCTGTTACTCATGAAGCATGTATAAGATTGTGGAGAGAAAATAAAGTTTATTATTATTATTATGTGACTGTGAATTTGACAGGAGGAATGATCCCAACTTACACTAGTTTGAAATGACTGGCTTCCCGTGAAGCAGCTGACTCCTAAAGAAATCCAGTGTTAAAAATCCTTAAGATTATTATGTATTTCTGATTTAAGGTTTAATTCCCGTATCATCGTAATAATAGCATTGGTGGTGGTCAACAAACTATGGGTTCATGTTTTATCCGACAGATCATAATTCAGTTTTAATTGTCGTTTCAAACTTTTTTTTAGCTTATACAGCAATAAAGGCGAGTACTTAGGCACCAGGACGACGGTGGACGATGCTCTGCGCAGCGGTATCTTGGAGGTCAACAACACTGAAGCAGATCTCACGCAGGGCGCCTTCCGTCAGGGATCGCACAAGATCGACTACGTCATCGAGCCTGATGTAAGCATCACCAATATTACATGCACTAACATTTTTAACGGATAGATATGTACTAAAATACATAAATGGGTGCTATGTAGGGAATCGAGAACCGATTACATTTTCGGAACCGGTTCTTTCGGTTCCCTTCAAAACACAGAACCGGGTACCCGGTTTTTTCGGTTCTTTTGATGTAAGTAATTTATTTAAAGCGTAGTTGATCAAATAATTAGACACTTATTTAAAACCAATGAATATTTTTCATCAATAATCATGTTTTATTTATTAGAAACACAAGAATCTTTAAAAATTGCAATGTTAACAAAAACCATCGATTCTTAAATTCTGAAATTCATAACAATTAGTTCAGTTCACAGTATTAATCAATCAAATCAGATTGGATATGTTTTTGAAGAATTTCATTTTTAGTGGGGGACCTTCTAAAGGTTTTGAACACTTTTCGAACTTTAGATATAAGATCATGATATCTGAATGACTGATGAGGTCTGGATTCTGGAATAAGCGACTCGTTGTTGAAACGGGCGCCATCTTCATCATCATTTTCTTCTATGTCATTGTCGCTATTGTCAATTTCGTTACTAATTTCTCCCCTTCGCATAAGTAAGGCTATTTCTGCTAGAGTCATATTGAACATGACATAGCACTGCTATGTGAGATTAATCAGAATTCTCTGCTACTGAAAATTGTTTTATTTACTGATTTGCCAACTTAGCTGTGTATAGATTGGAGCAGGATCATGAAGCTATGTTATCCTCCATTTAATGCGGTTATAGTTTACTCCTACTAATACAAGTGAAGTCGCCTAAGGTCTGTAAGTACAATAATGATGCCAGTAATGTAAGCAACGCGCTGTCGTTACTTCTGATATAGTAATCATTTCAAATGACCATTATGATGGATTTAACCAAAAGGGACATATCGTTTCTCACTGTCTTTATTTCAAGAGGTTGGTATTTTGAAATAAAGACAAGGCTGCTTTCGATCAGATGCAGAGTTGCAAATAAATTTAAATGGTAAAAAATATACTGGTAATACTTAAACATAAAGAATGGATTGAGCGACACTCGCGTGAAATTGTGTTTCTCATGTGTTTCTAGAAAGAGAGAAAGAGATGGTGCACTCATTACTTGTTCTATAATTCTACGAACTATAGGCCACACGATCGCTTTGCCTACCAATGAAGACCTCCGTGGCCGAGTGGTTTGTACGCCGGGTTTTAAAGATGTCGTCTGCTCGAGAGGTCCCGGGTTCGAGTCCCGATGGGGGCAAATGTTTGTGTGATAAATAAGTACTCCAGTCATGGATGTATAATATGTATTTCTATTTACAAGAAACATGGTACATTAAAAGTTACAACATTCTATAATCTTAAAATATATAATAACTAAAATACATTATTAAAAGGTTTTAATTTTAAAACCTTAACCTTATTTAAGGTTTTTTAAAACCTTTAGACAAGGTTCCAAAGAAACTGACAGCGTTCCCCCTTTGAATAGCTAGGCTAATTCTTTGTCCGAGGTAGCTGCCAGCTCTTCGGCCTCCAGTGATGTCGTTTTTTCTATTTCCTTAAAAAGCCTTACAGCGCTAGGACCCCACGGACCAAGGGTCTCGACATGGAATGGGACACAATCATATTCGGTGCCTAGACCCCTGTATTTGCATGCAAATGTATTTCTATATACATATACTTACATACGTATCAGTGTATATATTCTATCTGTTACCTAGTGTCCCATAACACAAACCTACAGTGTTAACTTTCGGGTCAGCTTATTAGTGTGAGTATTGGAAATATTTATTTATTACTAGTGGCCCGCCCTCGCTTCGCTTCGGTGTAGAGCTGTAGTGTAGATTTAAATGACTCTTCATATAAGTAATTATAAAAAAAACTGAAAATGGTATATTTGCTCAATTGTTTTGCCTTCCCAGAATCTCTCCACTAACATTTGAAAGGAGATTGCTCAAATTGGCCTAAATGCACAAAAAATATTGACATACACGGTAATTCTTGGCGTAATTTATAATTTAATTTACAGTCATTACATTTCAACGGACATCTATGTATAATATATTTACTTTAAAAAGGACATTTAATTTTACCGGTTTGGAAAACATACGAATCATTTTTGATGGCTATGGGTGTAGTAACATTCAGCCAAAGACTGATCGAAGTTGTTTATATAACATAAAAACAAATCTATTTTGTAAAGATCGATAAAATAAATCATTTTTTTTATTACACTGTGGTATTAATATCCACCACTATATTATAATTTTCACTAGATGCAAATGTGCTCAGACAATTATTATAGATGGTAGGCGACATCATAAAGTCTATTGCCATACATTTTTCGCCAAAGACCTCCATAAACACATTATAATCTGTATATATGTTAGACTATAAGGTATCTATCTATGGGCCTACGTTCCCTGACTATAAATTAATAAATGAATAAAATTATAAGGTGTGATACACTAAAAATCTTAAATATGGTTATCTTAAAAACATAACAAAAATAATGAAGCTAATACTGAATATATGGCTATAGAACCTAAATCTCTTAGCTTTCTTTGGTTAACGAGAATTTAAAAATTCTCTCTAATCTGTGGCTCATTCACAATCATCACACAGTTTCTGTCACAGAGTACCTTATTATAACCGGAAATGACACCCGATATTAAAAGTTACTCTTAAGCATTAACTTTAAAAACAGGCAACTATCTGTTAATCTACATGCTCTATATACCTGAATCTAATCCATAATTTCGGTACTTGGCTTGATTTCCCTAGTTGACTATATAACTTATTTGTTTTTTATTATTTTAATATGTTCAGTGTATATGGTTTATAGAAGTTCTCAGGGGTGTCCGTCCATAATATTCGTTTCTACAGTAATTTATATATAATTTCGAATCTAGGAAACAATTTTTCATGATTATTGGTCTTTAGGCCAAACGTGTATGGAAGCTGAGCAATCTCCTTTATGGTATGGTATTAAAGTTCAAATTGACTTTTAAGTATTATTACGAATCGTTTGTATGGGAGTATAGAAAAGTGCTGTTTTTGGATATTTTCAGGCATTTTTTTTAATTTTTCTCTGCGTTAGAACCATCCTCGTACTTCGAGGAATATTCTAAAAAAAGAATTATCGAAATCGGTTCAGCTGTTCTCGAGATTTGCGCTTAGCAACACATTCAGCGATTTATTTTTATATTATAGGGTTTTCATTATATAATATGTAGTTGTCCAATTTTATTATTTACTGTGGAAAAGTTTTGTAGTCTCAAGAAGCTTTTGGTACATGGGTACAACTCGAATAGCAGGTTCGATTCCTGTCTAATACCTGAACCGAATGAATGTATTGGTAGTAAAATTCTTTCAATTGTTTAATACTTGTAAAAGTATTCATTTGACATTGTGGGTTACCTATAATGCGAAGAGATGGCGCTGCCTTGCAGCTTAAGAATGGCTAGAAGAATTTCGACGCGGTCCGTGAGGGCCGCGGTAGCATAATTGGTCAGTGCATTCGCCCGGATTGCGAAGGGTGTGGGCTCGAGTCCCGTCTGCTGCCTGGTCCGCGTGGATTTTTTTCTAGTTATATTTTCTTTCGATCAAAACATCAAGCAGTTACATGCTTTAAAATAATAAAAAATATAAGTAAAATTTTCTTTGGATTTATAGATTTTGTAATTTCCATTAGATCGCGGAGCGCGTTGCCAGCAACATACAGGCGGCGCTGGATTTGCCAGCCGTGGACATGCAGCGAGGGCGCGACCAGGGCCTGCCGCCCTACAACCAGTACCGCAAGCTGTGCGGCCTACCAACAGCGCACAAGTTCGAAGACCTCCACGACGTTATATTCCCTGACGTGAGTTCTGAGTGTTCTGACGGATGAATGACTAATTACTTTTCATGTCACTGGGGCAACATAGTGATACCAAAAGGAGAAAGGGGACCACTGCTTCTTTCAAAGAATTATGGCAAGTTCATGTTGTTCCCGAAGAGTTGGATTTGGCGAAAGACCCGAACTTTTGGCGCATTTGTAATTTTTCTTTTTATAGATAGGTCCGACAAATGACTCTACCCCACCTGATGTTAAGTGGAGGTGAAGTCCAGACGCGAAGATAGCTGATACAGCAGTTCTACCTGCTACGCCAGCCATCCTCACCCTGCCGGCCTGCATGTTGCTTCTTCACGCCTCTTTTAAAGGATCCCAGGTTGTAAGAGGGAGGGAACACGTGAGCGGGCAGAGCATTCTATTTACGGATAGTGCGACAAAGAAATCATATCAGGTTAAATTTGACATCAGGTTAAGATCTAACACAGGCCGCTTCGTAACTAGCTTGTTATCTGTCTGTCGATCATAGTTGTACCTATTAGTACTGCCGGATTTAGGGGAGCGCAACCGGGGCGAAAGCACCGGGGCCTCCACAAACGGGGGAGAATATCCACAATAGAGACTTAAAAAAAAATCTTTCAAATTCCAACTAGTAAACACTAGTAAACATCTTTTCCTTTGATATTTTTTTTTTGCTCTTTTACCTTTATCTACAGCCTACAGTACTTTGTACATCTAACCAGGGCCGAATTAAAGGCAGGGCAGGTGGGGCTGTGGCCCAGAGGCCTCCACAACAGCTTAAGAAATAACAACATTTCAATGGGTCAACAAGCATGCAAATCCTAAGTGGCCCGGGGCCTCCACAATCCTAAATCCGGCCCTGCCTATTAGGGTTCCTAAGAGACGAACAAAAGGATTACATTAGATTTAGTAAAAGCATTCTGTCGTCTCTCTTTAAATATGAAAAACTAAAAAACCAACCTTCATTTAGATGGTTGATTCTGATTTTACATAAGTTGTTCGACCACTTGCTTCGGTATCACTACACAACAATACGTGATGTTGTCTTTAATTGATCTCGCAGAAAGTGGAGCAGATGCGTCGTATATACTACGACGTGGACGATGTAGACGTGATGACGGCCATCTACAGCGAGAAGCTGATCGAGGGCGGGTACGTGGGGCCCACGCTGTTCTGCATCATGCGCCAGAACCTGGTGCAGTGGCGAAAGGCCGACAGGCACTTCTTTGAGCACGGGGACATTCCGGCCTCCTTGACACTTCGTAAGTGAACGAATTGATGTCATCATTATCACCATCAGCCTATTAATGTCCCCACTGCTGGGGCACAGGCCTACCTTATGGATGGAACAAGGAAATTGGGTCATAACACTCCACGCGGGCCCATAGCAGATTAATGGGTGATAACGATTGCAGATGCAGCCGAGACCAACGGCTTAACGTGCCTTCCGAAGCACGGAGGAACTCGAGATAGAAGATTTTTGTTCACCCATCCAATGACCGACCACTGCAAAAGTTGCTAAACTTCAACGATCGCAGCCGAACGCGCTAACCACCCGCGCCATTATCTATATATACGTCACAAACATCAGATGAGTTAACTATCAAGGATAGAATTGATTTAATTAACCTATTATATCTTGATATTTACATTATTAAAGTGTTAAAGTATTAGTGGACTTTATACTAATATAAGTTATTTACGGCATTGTTACCATGTACCTTGTTTTTAGCGAGTTTCCGATATTTCGGCACTGTTGCAAGCGCCATGATCACGGAGTAACTGAAGTCATTGCAGGTAGGCTGTTATTGGCAGACATATCGGTCTACCCTCCGACGAAGTCTTTTATTGCGTTCGATACCCGTACCACTGTTCACATTCTCACTATTCACTCGAAACTATTCTCGGCACACAACACTTACAGTATCGGATCGCGACACGACACTTTTTTGAATATTAAGGTTTTACACATACGTAAATAACTTATATTACTATAATATTAGCGACCATGAAAGTTTAAAACAATATTAGTGGACTTCTCTTGCTTACATAACTAAACTCGACGTACTGCAACTATCTAAAATTATCTTCAACATCTACAGTATACTGGTTTACTAACCTGTACAATAGGGTATTTGACAGTATTAAAAATTAAGTGTCAATTGTAAGCATCTGTGTTTAGAATGAATATTGGCAGGGGTTTTTCAAATTTTTACAAAAAAAATATTCATAATTTTACTAAAAACCCACGAAAAAGAAAATAGTTTTCTTATCTATTGTCACTTGACCCAAAACGCTTGGGATTGGCGGAGCCTAAAATGACGTCACACGCAAGTAAACTTCCGGTTAAAGTGACATTACATTGTATCATTTGACGTTTTAATAACAGTCGTGTGACGTCACACACTAGTAAGACGCCATATTGTCCAGAGAAACGTTTTCGCGGCAACTTGTAAATTATACAGTTTTTGATTCGGTTATTTTTACTGAAATACACAACAGAATGATGAATATCCTTTTTACGGACTCCATAAACATTACACAATAACGTGAGATCGTTTTTTAAAACTTGTCAAATACCCTATTACAATTTACCAATGTTACAAGATGATTTGGTAATTTGTTTCTTAGGTTTTCACGCACATCACTCATTAAATAAAACTAGTTTTTACGGGTTAATGCATGAAACTTTATTTATTTATTGACGTTTCGCAGCCTTTACAGGCTTCGTCGTCAGAATAAAACTTTTAGTTAATTTGTCGAGCTACCTTCGAAAGACTTTTATTGAGCGATTGAGCGATTGATTATTTCATTGTTCGATTTTTAAAGTTTGATTGTCTATGTGTGAATTTATTATTTAATTTACTTAATAAAGTATTTTATTTAGAATTCTTTTTTGTAATTTTGAGTTTATTTATTTGACCCTAACTACCGTAAACTACCACCGGTTCCAAAATTTGGAGACCTTTCTGAGAAGAACCGGCGAAACAAACTCAAGAGAGGCTTTCTATCTCCTTCTTATGTTAAATTATGCAAACAAAAAGAACTAATAGTATCTGATGGACTTGCAGTGAGTGCTCGGGGTTGGGATTTTATCTCCTGTATAATAGGTTCCCAAGCTGGTGGTATATACCAACCATATTCCCTATCGGGTCAAATAAATAAACTCAAAATTACAAAAAAGAATTCTAAATAAAATACTTTATTAAGTAAATTAAATAATAAATTCATACATAGACAATAAAACTTTAAAAATCGAACAATAAAATAGCCAAATGCTCAATAAAAGTCTTTCGAAGGTAGCTCGACAAATTAAATAAAAGTTTTATTCTGACGACGAAGCCTGTAAAGGCTACGAAACGTCAATAAATAAATAAAGTTTCGTGCATTAACCCGTAAAAACTAGTTTTATTTATGATTTGGTAAGTTAATTCCTATTATTGTTTTCAGCTCAGCTATATGAAGTAAGAAAATCGAGTGCTGCCCGACTCCTGTGTGACAGCGGCGACCGCGTGGACCAGATCCAACCCAGGGCACTGCTCCGAGCTGGACGCGGGTAACCATCTTTTATTTGAATTCAAAGAGAAACCAAACAATAATCATCATCGTGAGGGCCGCGGTAGCATAATTGGTCAGTGCGGCCAATAGTTACTCTATTGACCGCACTGACCAATTATGCTACCGCGGCCTAATTTTTTTTTTCTTCGTTTATCAGGTAGATTATCAAAAAGTATTGGACACGTATTTTTTTCTTTTTTCACATAATATAAACATTACAGAGATATATTGATTTGAAAAGTCGCATGACGTCACGTTTGAGTACACTTAAAAGTGAAAATTCACTCAAAAGTGACGTCTCGAGCCCCTACTCCTAAACTTTAACGCGCTATAACTTTGTCATTTTTTGGTTGATTGCCCAAAGCAAAAATACGTGTCCATTATTTTTTTAATCATCTAACTGACGGACTAAATAGAATTTCGTTTACTGTACCCCGTCATCACCCCTATTATGCTACCGCGGCCGGATTGCGAAGGGTGCGGGTTCGAGTCCCGTCTGCTGCCTGGTCCGCGTGGTGTTTTTTCTAGATATATTTTCTTTAGATTTAATCATCAAGCAGTTACATGCTTTTTTATACTATCTTAAATTTATTTATGGTTAACTCTTGGATATTGCTTGGGACTTTATTGTATAAGTGAACACAAAGACCTTTAAATGAATTATTAATTTTATGAAGCCTAGTAGCAGGTAAAGTTAGTTTGTTTTTGTTTCTTGTATTAAGTGTGTGAACATCACTGTTTTTAAGAAACAAATTAATATTTTTTCTTATATAACAGAAAAAAAGAAGTCATATCATATCAGGTTGAGAGTTTTAATATTTTTCTTTAAGAAAGCTGAATCCAAAATTGCATTTCAGGAACGAAATCAGATCATGCAAAGAGATTCCGTCGATGGACCTCACCAAGTGGGCTGATCCCCAGTGCCACCCCAAGGCTGACAACAAGGAACATCCCATAAAGGAACAGGAGCACTACGCGAATCCCTACTTATGGGAATCCTATAATTATGATAAGAAATAGAAACAATATATTATTTTATATTTTCTTCACTTACCTGTACCCTTAGTACGAGTTTTACAATTACGTAAACTATGATAGTTTTCGTGAGCTCGCACTCGTACTAAGGGTACTGATTTTATTGTTTTCGTTTCAATACAAATAAACAGTGTTTAAATTCTATCATTCAATCATTTGCGTCTTATTAAATTTTAATTTTATTTAGTTACTTCTCACCAAAATGGACATAGAAACATAATTTACAAATACGAAAACTATGATAGTTTTCGTGAGCTCGAACTCGTACTAAGGGTACTGGACTCTGGACTTTATTACTGAAAATTGAGAAACCGCTGGTCAAAAGACCGTCGCTTTTAATTGAAGCCGCACTTGAAGAGCTCGATAGCGCGGGTGGTTAGCGCGATTGATGAAATTAAGCAACTTTCGCAGTGGTCGGTCATTGGATGGGTGACCAAAAATCTTTATCTCGAGTTCATCCGTGCTTCGAGAGGCACGTTAAGCCGTCGGTCCCGGCTGCATCTGCAATCAGCACTTTGCCCGCGTGGTGGGTCATGGCCCAATCTCCCTATTCCATCCATAGGGAAGGCCTGTGCCCCAGCAGGGGGAGCACCAATAGGATGATGATAATAATGATGACACTTGAAGGGCTACACGCTTCTCAAAAACTTCTTAATTAAACTTTCAGTTTCTGCTTCAGTTTTCGCCATTGCCATTATCAATTTATGGCACCCATCAAGGAGAGTTTACTGATGGTAATGCTAATAGTTTCTATGTTATATAATAATCTGTGATTTTTATAGAACAACTATAAACTTGTAAATAAGGACATAAGATTATTCTTCTAAATATATGTTTATTATTGTTCTTACACAATTCTACTACGTAATATATTGTTTTAAACTTTCATGGTCACTAACATTACAGTAATTTATGTTAATACTAGCCGTGCCCCGCGGTTTCACCCGCGTTTACAATCATCAACAAATATATTTCGAAAAAGATTATTACAGGATTTTATGTTGATAAAAAACTCTATGGCCCATAAACTCATTAAAAGGTACCAACTTAACATCTTACACACGTGATAACTTTTAAACGAAATATCCGATTGAGATGAAACAAAAAGTATTTTACTTCTACATAAATACTCTTGATAACATAATGCTTAATTTCGATAAGGATTAATATTACGATACATATTTAACGTAATTTTTTTTTCTTCAGACGATTTAATAATTATTTGGAACACAAAATCCGTTATTGTGATTAAACCATGATAGCTAGATATATGTTCTCGCGGACTTTTTTGTAGATCTGAATGTGATCTACAAACCCGTAGTACATCATTTTGTTCTATTGTCAATAGTTTTTGCAGCGCACGCAAAAATAAGTTTTCGATTTTACACCTTCTAATACAAAATAGCAATTTTATTACGGATCCCTAATTTAGAAAAAAAAATATAGCCTATAGCCTTCCTCGATAAATGGACTACCCAACACTGAAAGAATCATACAAATCGGACCAGTAGTTCCAGAGATTAGCGCGTTCAAACAAACAAACTCTGCAGCTTTATAATATTAGTATATAGTATAGATATGTTAAGTTGCTTCGTGATCCTAGCGCTGGCAACAGTGCCGAAATATCGGAAACTCGCTAAAAACAGGTGTTCATAAAAAAACGAGTGTACTTATGACCACACGACTGAAGTGAAACAGTGAATGTATATATATATATGTTTGTGTACAATAGATACATGTATGTACAATACATATACATATTTCATTTGCTTGCTATAAGAGAAAGAGAGAAATAAAATGAGCGCGCGCAGCTTTCTCTTGCTTTTATTCCCCACTCAACTCCCGTTCGCCTCGCCCGAACACACTTTTCGTAACACGTAACGCCAGCTTACCACCTAAGTCAAGCGAGCGTAAAGAAGTTTTACTTCAAAAAGGTCCATTTAGCGATCCGTGACGACGTGCGACTAAAAAGCGAACCACTTTAGTCAAGTAGGGGTGGGCGATTTTAGAATAACGATGCGCAATAACGATGCCAGGTTCGGATCACAGACTATTTAGATACTACGTTCGGATGCGCGCATCCGATGCGACTGGATGCCGATGCCATCTAGTTTTTGTCAACGTTACCATAGCAACAGTGCCACAAACTTATCTGTGCCGGTGGAGATGTCGCTAGCGGTGAACAAATATGTCATAAAAATGTCAAAATGCTATGGATAAATTGTAGTTCAAATTTTTGCCACTGGCACAGAAAAGTTTGTGGCACTGTTGCTATAGTAACGATGACAAAAACTAGATGGCATCGGCATCCATTAACGGCATCCAGTCGCATCGGATGCGCGCATCCAAACCTGGCATCCTGCTGGCGTTCAAAACCTACGCTCTGAGTGAATTTTTTTATTTAATAATTTTGCCAGCATTCAATCTTTTCAGATAACATACCGAAAAGTAAATAAGTGGTTTTCGATTACATTTTCAAGTCACAGAAAAGACACACCCACACAAAACACGCATCGTATCCTGTGATACAAGATATCGACATTCAGTTGACATCGATGCGATGCCGGCATCGATGCGGGCATCCGATGCAATTTATCAGATACCGATGCGCATCGATTTCAAAAATATCTAAAAACGCCCATCTCTATAGTCAAGCAACCCCACCATTGTCGCAGCTACCACAGGATCACTATAAAAGCTAAAGCAATATACATCTGTTTAATATTATTGGTATATATGTTACCGGCCAAACCCGATTTCAGGACAATCTAGTTTTGCCTAGGCTAAACTGGTTCTTCCTATACGCGATAGGATTAACTAGTATAGCCTAGTCCAAACTAATTTATCCTAAGCGCGACAGGATAAACCAGTTTAGCCTAGGCCAAACTAGATGATCCTGATATAAATACGCACACTCTAGGATAAACTAGTACGACCTAGTCTAAACCAATTTAGCAAAGCGGAAAGTAATTGAACAGACATGTCAGGACTTGTACAGGGCGCGTCATGTAAAAAGAACGCTGGAAGAAAGTGGAGGGAGTGTTTTTTCTGTAATTGGTTTTTGTTTAACTCTTTTGTTGTTGCCGGGAGCTCGGAAGACAGTAAAGCCGGGTACGCATTAGCGATCTGTTACCGTAACATGCGTGATACAATTCATTCATTTTACAATTCATCTCACTGTAAACTCAAAATATTTTAAGAAAAGTTTACTAGAAAAAAAAACCACGCGGACCAGGCAGCGGACCGGACTCGAACCCGCACCCTTCGCAATCCGGGCGTATGCACTGACCATTATGCTACCACGGCCCTATTCGCCGCGTCGAAATTTTCCTAGCCTTAAGCTGCAAGGCAGTGCCATCTCTTCGCATTGTAGGTTGCAACCACGCAACCCACAATGTCAAATGAATACTTTTTCAAGTATTAAACATTTGAAAGAAGAAATAGCAATTATAGTTATTGTTTTTATTTATTTTTAAGCATTTAACTGCTAGGTGTTTAAATCTAAAAAAAGTTTACTAGAAAAATTAAACTTTTCTTACTTTTCTTTGTATTACTAATTATCCATAACTTGTAACGATGAATCATTATGGTTTTAATAAAAAATATTATTTTTCCAATTACGGATTATTTTATTCAGTTTATCTATTTATTTTGACTTTCTAGATATACTATAATGTTTACACTAGGCCATACTAGTTTATCCTAGAATATGCGTATTTTTATCAGGATCAACTAGTTTGGCCTAGGCTAAACTGGTTTATCCTATCGGGCTTAGGACAAATTAGTTTGGACTAGGCTATACTAGTTAATCCTATCGCGCATAGGAAGAACCAGTTTAGCCTAGGCAAAACTAGTTTGTCCTGAAATCGGGTTTGGCCGGTAACATATACATATATTAAAATAGGGTATTGGACAAGTTTTAGAAAACGACCTCACGTTATTGACTAATGTTTATGGAGTCCGTATAAAGTTGATATTCATCATTCTGTTGCGTATTTCAGTAAAAATAACCAAATCAAAAACTCCATTTTCAAGTTGCCGCGAAAACGTTTTTCTGGACAATATGGCACCTTACTAGTGTGTGACGTCACACGACTGTTAATAAAATGTCAAACGATACAATGTAATGTCACTTTAATCGGAAGTTTACTTGCGTGTGACGTCATTTTAATTTTCCGCCAACCCCAAGCGTTTTGGGTCAAGTGACAATAGGTAAGAAAACTATGATCTTTTTCGTGAGTTTTTAGTTAAATTATGAATATTTTTTTTGTAAAAATAGTAAAAACCCCTGCCAATATTCATTCTAAACACAGATGCTAACAAATGGCACTTTATTTTTAAAACTGTCAAATACCCTATTACCTATGTTATGAAATATAGAGAAATACATTTACTTATTTATGACGAAGTCGCTTAATTTTCTTCAAAGAAGATGTCTGTCGCTTTATTTCCTTCACAGAACAAAAATATATACAAGTTACATGGTAACAATCCCGTAAATAACATAAATCTACTTCGTGATACTTATTGACTTGAGACATCGGAAGTTTTTAACTTACTAAATGTTTCTGACTAAAAAACCCTTTCAGCGCACAGCTCTGAATTAGGTTAGAGCAGTGATACCCAAAGTGGCCTATATCGACCCCTAGGGGTCTATGACAACCTGCAAGGGGTCTACGTCAGCGAAAAATAATCAATATCAGGTAAGTAGGGGGTCTACCCAGCACGGAAAAACATGGCAAGGGGTCTTCGACACAAAAAAGTTTGGGGAACTCTGGGTTAGAGGGAGGGGAGAGGTCGAATTGGGCGCCAAAGCTAAATGGAAAAATTTATACCGCGGAAAAAAATTCAAGAACCTCAGACTAAGTTGTAAACAGGCACGTACAAAAAAGCCATGGCGGGAGACCTTGTCCCGATAAGAACCGACTCGACAGACACTCGATTTAAAAACAAGATAGTTGGCACAGAGATGATGCTGATTTCTTACCTAAATAACATTTGGCTAAATTCAGTATGCTAACTAATTTAGATCTGCAGCAACGACTCTGATTATTAAGTTAATTAGTGTGTCTAACAGTCTGAATTGTCTAAAAACATGTCTACTTAAGAAAGGTTACTATGCTGTTAAAGATTTCATAAATGATAAGTCACATGGGCTTAATATAATAGACTAAGTCGTTTTACTTTGCTAATTTGGTTGAAAATTGTTTAATCGCCACTTCTAAATTTAAAAATAGTACCTAGCTATACTTAACTTTTGTTAATTAATAATATTAATGTGATGAGTTGACATCAACACATGTATTCAATTTTTGATGTCATCTTTCAATTGACGACACGAAGAAAAAATAGCCCTTGCTGAGTTTCTTGCCGGTTCTTCTCGGTACAAGGTCTCCCGCCGTAGATTTACGAACCGATGGCGTAGCGTTTGACTTTCACAAGAGCTTGTAACAGCCTAGACTGAATAAATGAGTTTGAGTTTGAAAGTTGAAATTTAGAGTCGAATATACTGAATGAACTGAATTAAACAAAATATAAAAGGCCCTTTATGGCTCAATTTCTTTATTCTACCCAGAAACATCTAGACAGTGTATAAATCTTTCTCTCTTATATTCTATGACCAAGATATCCTCAAGGAAGGAAAATTACATTATTACACAAGCGAAATTGTTTATCATTTTACTAATTTGTTATCACCAGAAATGTTTTCATTACATCCCAGTGGCGGACTAAGCCAGTCGGAGGCCCGGGGCGGCAAAGCAGAATGAGGACCCCAGCTTTAAAAAAAAATTGTTTACTATGTTTATTTCTAAAGAAAATATAACTA